CTTCCTTTTCTTTGGTCAGGGTCCTTGTCAAGTCTTTTGACGGGAGTTAGGACGAGGTGATTTATCGGGTAAGTGTATGTTACCCAGTTGTGGAAGTAAACTTATCTATTCGCACCCTTACCTGGTGTGGTAAGCGTAGGGGGAGGTTCCTTTAAGTTAGAGAGGGATGAAGTGAGGGGAGGTTATGTGTAGGTTTCACAATCTCACTGCGCTCCCCTAAGATTCCTGGATCCTATGTTCCTAAGTACCTAGAGTTCAAGCCTAGTGTCCTAAAGTCCGGTCTTAAGAGTCTTATCCTAGGGTCAAACTTAAGCTCTGATACCAACTGTAACACCCCAGATTTTCAAGACATTTAAAACTTATAATAAAGGTAGAATCTTATTAAATCCCAAGATATAAACACAAGCGTTCGGGGTGCTATGCCACACCTGGGCTAGAGAACCCAAGTGCACAGGCTAACTAACTAATATCCTTAAAGCGTAAATACGTAAACGTGGCACGCAGGCCAAAAGGGAAACTATCTACTTCTAAGTTCTAGCGCACTACAGTGACTTAATCTTCTGTGCCTGAAAGCCAAATATATCTGTTCAGCGAGAGATGCTGGTAACCCACTCCAACGCATTGAAATACAATACATATAGAGATATATATAGATATACGAAAACCATTTTGAGCATGAAGATATATCCTACGAACTCTAGCTATAAAACCGGGAATGACTCGACAGATAAGGCCAGACACAAGCAACAGTTATAACAGTCATAAGCAGTTCATAACAGATAAGGCAAATAAGGCAAAGCATAAACAATGATCATAACCCAACATGAATGATCCCCAATATAAATCCCATAGTCACATTCCCCAAGACACTCCTAATCACAACTCGTCCATATCACAACACATAACGCACGTTGTTGGCGCCACAGGACCACTCGCATGCCCATACATGCGGGTCAGCGCATATAGCTCTGACACGGCCCCACAGCACCATGCCCCGTATCGCAACACGGGGAGGCCGATCGCAACCGACCGATGAACCGCAGCTCATCATAATGTTTGATCGCAACCAAACAGTGGACCGCAGCCCAAGAGAGTATGTCATCTGACTGTAGCCAGGAATTCCCATCTGACTACAGCCAGCCTCTGAACCGCAGCTCAGGAAAGATGTCACCTGATTGCAGCCAGGAATTCCCATCTGACTACAACCAGCTTCTGGACCGCAGCCCAGGATACCGTCATCCGACTACAGCCAGGAATTCCCATCTGACCATAGCCGGCTTCTGAACCGCAGCTCAGGATAACCAATCCGATCGCAACCGAATTGGGGTAACACGCACACATAACACATAGCAAGCACATGCAACCCACATTACACATTGGGAAGGGGGATAAAGCGTATAACAACCTTATGCGTGATCCATCACGTACTAAGAATAGTCCTAAGGGGTTCATACTCCTTCCACCTAGATCAACGGGATACCAATTCAACTAGCATGCAATATAATAGACTCATAAACCTACGAACGGTACCCGAAATATCAAACTAGACATAGGCACGACAAACGGGGTCCGTTGGGACACCACAGGGATCGGGGAAACATCAAACGGGGAAGCCGGGGTCCCGAGGGGGGGAAGATTCCAGCGGGTAGCCGGTGGGTGGGGGGTCCACCCGCTGGCTGCCCGCCGGCCAACACTGTTCCGGGCAGCGGGTGCCCCGCGGGCAGCTGCCCGCCGCCGGGACTACCCGAAGTTGCCACGGGTAGGTGGCGGGTCCCCTACCCCCACCTACCCCCCACTGACTCTTTTCATCACTTTTTCGCCCCGGGAACCGATGTGGAACCCGAAACCATGCTTAGACACTTTTCAACGTAATTAACGACAACACATAGACAGTTAACGGATCAAATACGATAAACGAACGGCACATAACCTATCATGCTTTTCTAATCATAATCAACACCCAAACATGCGATTTCCCCACCCGATAATCCAAGAATAATATCATACGATACAACCTAGGGTTCTAATCACTTTTATATCAACAAGAATACAATTCGTCTTCTAATTGCAAGATTCGGCAGGAACAACACATAATCATCAAGAATACCAATTAATCATCACAAACATCATAATCATCAAGAACAACACATAATCATCAAAACCCCAATTAATCATCAAGAACATCATAATTATCAAGAAACTCCCAATATCAAGATTATCAAGATTCCTCATGGAATCATTATATCGACATCAATGATAATCATCATCAATCGCCATTTACAACAATATGGGGGGAAACCCTAAGGGGAAATCATAGCTATGAAAATAGGTTTTGTTGAGACATGGGTTACCTCTTAGCCTTAATTAATTCCTTGGCTATGAAGGGTCTTTCTTTAAGCTTTCTTGCTTTCTTGATTTCTTCTAAGGGGATTCTTGGAGCACTTTGGGGTGGTGGAATGTTTATTGTGGTGGGGGATTCTAGGTGCCTCTTAAGTCCCCTATTTATATATTTAGGAGTCCTGGTTAGGAACTAATATCATAGGCTTGCTAATTCTATTCCTTTTGGAACTAAGGATTGGGTTTAGGGATAAGGGTCCATGGTCCATAGTGGACCATATTAATTAATTAAAGTGAATCCTAATCGTAGTCGGAATAGTAAAAGGCCTACTTCCTTTATTCCTAATAGATAACTAGGTCTAGGATTCCTAATTAGAATCTGAATAGTAAAGGGTTTACTTTCTTTATTCCTAATAGGCTTAGGACTCTAATTTAGGCAAGGGTTCACGGTTCATGGTGGACCTTTATTAATTAATTAAAGGAAACCTAACCGAATTAAATCATATTTAATTATTATTAACGGGATTAATTTAATAATTAATCCGGGATTGAAGGCCGTAACACGGGGTGTTACACCTGCATCATTACAGATTTCAATGAAGTGGGCGATGTGTTGCCTCGGGTTGCCTTTTCCATCAAACTGTTGGAACTTGGGAGGTTGATAGCCCAGCGGCATCTTCATTTCTTCAATCCTCTGAGTATAGGGCTTAGTGTAAGTGTATGAAGATTGTCCTCCCTCGAGCTTCCCTTTGATCGCTCCCATGATGTAGTTAGGGCTGGGCACTTCGGTCTTCGGTTCGGTTTTTTTTGGTTTCGGTTTTTTGTTTTTAGAAAAGTTCAACCATTCGGTTTAACATTATAGTTAGGTTCGGCTTCGGTTCGGTTTCAATCGGTTTGGTTTCGGTTCGGATTTAATTCGATTCGGGCTTCGGTTCGGTTTAAGACTTTACGAGAATTACGATCATCAAATTTCAACATTTTATAATTTTCCAAACATACTACCAAACAATACCTATTCACATAATCCACATCTAAAATATAAATGTTATATAACAAAATAATAATTCAAAGTTTAAACATACTACTAAATAGTAAATACTAACATCACATACTAATAGAAATCTAATTACCAAAACATCACATACTTAGAAATTAGAATCCAAATTTCAAAGCTCAAACATTACAAACATGAATCACGTAGTTCAAACTTCAAATCCAATGTTTAAAGAGTAAAAACATGAAACATCAAATAAAAATATTCAGTTGGAATATTTTTATTGATAAGATGAATAATCATCTATCTGTATAGTTGATATTAAAAGAACAAGTGTCAATTACTATATAGTTAATTTTTGGACACAATCTGTCATTGCTAGTGCACTCGAAATATATTCCAGCACTAGAAAATAATTATAATGCACTGGAAATCAAAATTAGAATGACTATAAAGCACATTAAATTTATAGAAAAACATGAAACTAAGGAAAATACTGAATATTGTAAATATAACTCAAGTTAGATATAATTCTGAAGTAAAGAACAATTGCGACAAACAACAAAAGTGCAATGTAGAAAACAAGCTATAAAGAAATCAAATAAAATATTTAAGGTTCGGTACCAGTAAGAATGAGAACTGAATGACGGAGCAAGCATCAAGAAACTTGGATTTACTTCTTTATTATTATTATTATTATTATTATTATTATTATTATTATTATTATTATTATTATTATTATTATTATTATTATTAAAATTATATAGCATTTGGTTCAGTTCGGTTTTTGTCAAATCGTTCGGTTTCGGTTCGGTTCGGTTTGGTACAAAACCATTCGGGTTACAAAATCCCAAACCATTCGGTTTTCTATTACTAGTTCGGTTCGGTTCGGATAAACCAAACCGAAGTGCCCACCCCTAGATGTAGTCATTCAATTGCTTGACAGGTATCATGCCCTCAGAAATTGGAATGCTTTTCTCAGCAGGTGGTGGACGAGAGATTGTCTCTTCCATTCTTGGCCTACTTTCATGAAGCGGTGACTCGACATCAATCTCATCCTCTTGGGTTTGAGGCTGCTTCTCGGAAGCTCGACTTGTTTCGCCGTTTCTTCCGCTTTCAACCTTTTCACTGAGCTCATTGATTCTCCTTTCTTGGTTATGCATGAACGTAGTTATCCCCTTAAGAGCTTTGGTGATGTTTGCTAGTTGTTCCTCTACCGAAGCTGCGTTTGTCGTCATAACGGGCATGACTGTGTAGCTGTGAGTCAATTCCGACGATGTTTTCTGCAGAGGTGATGATTGAGATGTAGGAGACGAGCGACCGCTGCCAGGGATTCATTTTGGGGGAGTCATACTCTTGCTGCTGGGAGTTCCTTGTGTGGTAGTAGGGCCCATATGACTCTTGTCGCCAACAGTTTCCCTTGTCGAAGATGAACCCTTGTCATATGCAGCTTTCCATGAATTTGTGGAGTTGCTTTCAATCCTTCGGACAATGTTACGAACCATGTTCTGGGTCTCGTTCAGTTGCACCCCTAGGTTCCTCACGCGGCTCTGAGTCATTGCTCCTTCCACATTTTTTCTATCACCGGAACCGGCCACGGATGATGCCTTGGAGCGGGTAGCTTGAGCATAGGTCATCTTGGAGGAGGGATTTCTTGATGCCATTTGGATTCCTTCCTTGTAGAGCTCATGAATCAATAGTGAAGAGATGAGAGGCAGAGTAGTCCCATTGGGTGTGCCAAAATCTGTAAACACAAAAAAGTAAAGTTTGTATATATTACACAAAATTCCTTGTACAGTGTGTGTATAATTCAATGCAGGTACAAAATCTCTGTCTAGTCTTCTGATTCTTCACTGACGTTATCTATGGAAGTGCCTCCGGGATTCAAATAGCGTAGCCTCCGGGATTTAAGTGGCGCGTGTCTCCGGGATTTAAGTGGCGTAGCTTCCGGGATTTAAGTGGCGTGACTTCCAACAACGAGCATCAAGAATTTAGAAGTAATCAACCCTGCAAAGTTTCAAAACACATGCAATGGATCCAAGCTGCTTTAGGATCCTCAAATGCCTTCAAAAGACTTCAAGATCTTCGAGGCAATCAATTCTGCAAAGCTCCAAAGTACCTGCAATGGATTCAAATTGCCTGCAAAATCAACAAAAATGCCTTCAAATCTTCAAGCGTTCTTCAATGCCTTCAAGCTCTCAAGCCTTCAAGTTCTTCAAGCTTTCAAGTGTGTTTTGGAATGAAAATGAAGGCCCTATTTATACTAAAAGCTTAACCAAAATTCCTCAACCAACCCCCCTTTTTAGTTAACTAATTAATTAATTAATTATTCTAGAAAATGAACCTTGCCTAGAATCAAGTCTAGGTTCATTATTGTATAATCTAATTCAAATTCAAATTCAAATTATAATTATATAATTCAAATATAATAAAATATTATATTTAAATTATAATCATAATTTATAATTCAAATTCAAATATGGAATGGGCTTGGGCCAATTAATTAATTAATTAATTCAATAGCCCAAATCAAATTCTAATTGGACTAATTAAATTAAATTAATTTATATGATCCAATTAATTAAATTGGCCCAATAACACTTTAACGGACCCATTTGTCGGGTTTAAATTTTCGGTGTCTACAATAGTGGCTTGCGGATCAAATAAAAATAAATTTATTTTAGATCGTCCTAAAAAATTAGGAGTTGGGATAACCAACGAAGTAACTAGGCGCAAGCATGACGTATTTGATCGAAGCTAAGCAAATAGATAGATAGATGGTGGCAGAATAAGCAGTGAAATAAAAGTAGGAAAATAAAAGCAGGGATTGGAATGGGTACGTATATATTGGTCTAATGCCAAAACAAAGGATCGGATTGAAGGTCGTGAAACTTCACATCGGGTTCAAAGATGGTCAATCACTAATTCGGTGTACTCACACGCCACTTTCGTGATCTAATGTTAGGCCAAATCGGAACACTAAGGTTGTCCCACTTTCGTGACGCTACCAATCCCTTCAATAAGCTCAAGCACACAGTCTTGACCTTCAACATTCCCTACTCCCGTAAGTAAACCTGAAGGTCATGAGATGTGGTCTAAGAGAAATTGGTGGTTGAGAGATGAGTCTAGGTGTATGCTAAGTGCTAACCCGTAGACTCCTTGCTCAAGCAGTTGTCAAAATCTCATACTAGACAATATTGACAAGGTTGCGCACAAACCCATCAACACAAGAATACAAAACAACTCACAAGTCACAAGAACAAGAACCCTAGGTTGGGTTTCAAATCATTTTATGCAATATATGCATCAAACACAATATACAACACTTACCAATCCCTACACTAAACTACACACTCATAATAAATAAGAGAAACACGCGAACATTCATGAATAACATAATCCATCAATATATTAAGGGAATAAAATCAATAAATAAAGAAATAATTATTCAACAAGGTAAAGATTCACAAGATAAAAGCAATAAACACAAGAACAAAGTAATCTAAGTTAACAATAACAAACTATAGGGATAAGGGTCAAATAGATTCTCCAACTATATACTAAAGTACAATTAGCTCCTCGAACTAAAAAAATCTTCAATTAAACCCTTAAACTTGTTAAAATAGTGCAATTAACATATTTGACCTATAATAGCATGTTACTTTCAAGTCACCTGCTACGTAGGATTCCACGTAAGATGCCACGTCAATTAATATTTTAAATATTTTTTAAAAAGTAAATTAATTATGTTATAAAAAATAAAAATAAATAAAAAAAAACGCCATGGCAGGCTGGCAGCTTGAACAACCTGCTGCCATGGACTAGAAGCCATGGCTGATTTGGACGGAGAAGCTCACTGGCTTCTCCATGAACGGAGAAGAGAAGCCAACGAGCTTCTCTGTTCAAATATACTGGACGGACGGACGAAGTAATCAATCAGATGAATCTCTACGAACGGACGAATGCATTTGATCAAAGAAGTAGGACGAACGGATGGAGTAGTCAAACGAAATGGACGAATCCATCCACCGCCGGCAACTACGAACCTATGAATCCGGCGACATGGAATGGACAAATCCGATGACTTTTTTTTTTTTTTTTTGAATTTCTATTTAAAAAAAAATGAAATTCCACTTAAATGCCAATCAAGCAAAATTAACTTGTTACTTTTTGGTAACTTGTTAAACATGGTAATTGCACATTTTTAACAAGTTAAAGGGTTTAATTGAAGATTTATTTATTTATTTATTTTTTAGTTTAAAAGGCTAATTTCAATTTGGTATATAGTTGGAGGGTCCATTTGACCCTTATCTCCAAAATATAACTTGATAAATCAACAAATATAACAAGGAAAGACAGAAAAGACCTAATCTGGAAATTTTCCTACTGCTATTGTTTAGTGGGTATGCCCTTTCTACCAAAATAGGAAAAAGATCAATTATAGGGGAATTCTAGGGTTTGGCGCATTGGTCCTGCACAGGCATGCCACTGCCCGTGCGGGTGCACTGGCATGGCATGGGTATAGTGTGCCTGTGCGGAGGACGCTTAGCGCTAGTGATTTATGCACAGGCGGCGCACGGGTGTGCCACCGCCCGTGCGTAGCCTTGTCTCCAAGCTACGAACTCCGTCTTCGTTCCTTTTGCGCGTCTTTTCCCGGGTTTTCTTCCGCATGCTCTAGTCCATGAATTTTTTCTCCATTTTGATAAGCTTTTGCTTCCTTTTCCATTTTCTTCTCTTAATATTAAAGTGTATTTGGGCACAATTGAGCATAAAACAATCTTTTAGTTCAAAAACCCAAATAAACACGTTGAAATGTGCATGAAATGGAGCTTAATTAAGAATGGGGTAAAATATAATACTTTGTATAAAATAAGAGTCATAACCTGCGGCTGCGGGTTCTCGACCTGCGGCGATGACCTGTGGTCTAGGGTAGCAACCTGCGGCTACCATGCTCATACTTGTTGTCAGAGGTACTTTCGTAATCTACAAACCCTTCATGTACCTAAATGTATATCAAACCCTTAATTGTATAGTATTGGATTGAAAGATACCAACTCTTTTTACTGCCTTCAAGTCTTCTTTTGTTTCTTGAGACATAGCAAAAAATGTGTGATTTTGACATGATTTGGACAAAAATGTGTTGATCCAACTAAAATATGTAAAGTACCAATGTCATTACCTTCTTTTCAAAACCCTATTTGAAAAGTAAGTATTATCCTCATAGCTCGTTTTTTGATGCAGAACCCGGGAGTAATCCATCTTATGTTTGGTGTGGTATCCTGGAGGCAAAGGATGCTGTCAAAAGGTGGAATTGACGTAGTGTTGGGAATGGCAGTACCACCACAATTGGGAATGACCCTTGGCTAGTGTCTGCTGAGGACCCATATGTTAGAACTAATCTGCACCACTCGATTAGGGAGGCGCCAGTGAGCTCCTTGTTGAATTTGGATGGATCGGGATGGGATGTGGAGTGCATCAAAGATGTCTTTGATGAGCGGGACGTGAAGTGCATTCTCAATATCCTGGTAAGTACTCGTAAACCTAACGATGCATGGGTTTGGTGTGGGGATTCGAAGGGGAATTACACTGTGAAGTCATGTTATCGGATGCTAGCCAGGGAGGTTAATGTGGAAAAGCCATGGCATCTGATCTGGAACTTACAAGTACCACCTAAGGTGCGTTTGTTTTGCTGGCAACTCGCTAATTCGATACTGCTTACGAGGGATGCACTGCTCACTAAGCATGTTGCATGTGGTGTGTTGTGCCATATGTGCGGTGCAGTGGATGAATCGACTACCCATTTGTTCCGGGATTGTGTGCATGCTGCTGCTCTATGGGCGTCTATTCAATTGCCACCAACGGCGCAAGATCAAGGTACAATTGTTGATTGGTTTTTCGCAAACTTGGTTATGCTGAAAGATGATTTGCAATGTAAGTTTGTAATGCTGGGTTGGGGGCTGTAGGGAAGTGGGAACGAAAGGGTGTGCCGTTCGTCGGGGAGACTGTTGTGCATAACACTCTGACCTTTTGGACAAACTAGAAGATGGTGAACACGCTGGACAGTGGAAACAGTATGGCGTAGCAAAGTGTGCATAGGTGGAGCTTGCCAGCCACAGGGAGGGTGAAACTAAATACGGATGCAGCGATGGATGCGGAGAATAATGATATGGGGCTCGGGTGGATCTTGCGAGATGATGGAGGCCGGTTTATCAGGGCATGGAGCAGGCGTGTTCCAGGGCAGTACATGGTGGTTGAGGTGGAGATGTTGTGTCTGTAGGAAGCCCTCACTTAGTTCAGAAATACTGGAATGGGGGACGTGGACGTCGAAACAGACTCACAGTTATGTTATTATGCTTTAAATTCAAACTCCTTTTATTCTGTATTTAATTTTTTAGTAGATGATGTTAAACAAGTTGCCTCTATGATTAACGGGGTTAACTTTGATTTTGTTAAGCGATCTGCGAATTGCGTTGCCGACGCTTTAGCACGGGAAGTGGTTTTTATGTCAGGTTGCAGGGGGTGGTTTGATACGCCTCCTCATTTTCTTGTTGCTACTCTTTTCACTGATTTAATGAATTAAGTCGAGTTCTTCAAAAAAAGAGAAGGTAATGTCACTAGCTTCTTTTATTTTTCTTTGCTTTGACCGAAAAATGTCACAAAAGAAGGCAATTGCATTGCCTTTCTTTTCACTTTGTTTAATTAAAAGTTAAGAAGGCAATAGTATTGCCTTCTTTACTAATATATTTATTATTTAGAATTGCAAACACCATTAATTTTGTTCAATATGTGTGATTATATATTTATATGATCTTCAAAGCAATTAAAGAATGGATAATGTTCTTCCTAATTCTATATTTAATTAGAACACAACCCTTGCCCGCAATTTTTATTACTTCGAATTTATTTTTAAAAAAAATTATTTTATTAAATATTAATTAATTACATAAAGTTTTCAAAAAAAAAATCACATAAACAAAGATTTCAAAATTTTAAATAGTCATTTGTAGTACGATGATTGCATGATAATAGTCATTAGGAAATCGACTTCTACGTTGTTGACCTCTATGAGCTTTCCGGCGGGCACCTGAGGGTGGCAGGCACGTGAGTGTTGTGGTCAGCTGAACTTCGTCATCCGGCAATGGATTCAAGGTTCCTGCATAACTCATTAAGTAATACTGTAACGACAAAATCAAAACGTGAATAACATTCTCATGAATAAGACCACACTTGGGACATGCAGGATCTATGTCAACTCTCTTTATAACCAAATTCATAGTGGTGGGGAGGATATCATTAAGGGCTCTCCATAAGAAAATCTTCCACTTTGGAGGGACATTTAGCTTCCATAATGGAACCCAACTATCAAAACCCCCTAGGTTAACTTCAAGATTACCAACAATGTGTCTGTAGCCTCCCTTAACTGTGTAGAGACCTTTTGGATCACCATACCGGTACCATGAATCACTATAATCTGGGCTAACAGGGATCTTAGGAATACGAACCACTTCTTCAGGTATAAATATATTGGATAAAATGTGTGGATCCCAAGTATTAGTACCCTGATCAATCAAACCTGAGACCAAAGAACCACTCAATTCAACATGCATTTCAGTTTGAACAATAGGGCATGGCTCATCAGGAAGCCACGGATGCCGCCAAATGAGTGTGTTATTACCATTGCCTATTCGTCTTCTGACACACCCCCCCCCCCCCCCACAAACCAAACCATGTGCTGCCATAACGCTACGCCAACAAAAACTCGGAATATTTCCCAAGGTATCCTCATAGAAAGTAGACTTAGGGAAGTAACGAGCCTTATACACTCTAGCAGCTAAGGAATTAAGATCAGTCAAAAAATGCCAGACTTACTTTCCCAACATAGGCAAATTAAACGCATGAAGATCCTTAAATCACAATGCCCCAAATTTCTTAGGGACATAGAGGCGATCCCAAGCTTTCTAATGGATTCCCCTTTCATTACCTGTACCGCACCAATATCTATTCATGGCTCTCTCAATGGACATACAAACTGAATTAGGAAGGAAAAAAAACTCATAGAAAAGGTAGGCATAGATTGGACTACACTTTTCAAAAGAATCTCCTTACCAGCCTGAGAAAGGAGCTTTTTATTCTACGAACCAATCATTTGTTTGATTTTGTCCTCAATATACGAGAAAACTGCCCTTTTATTCCTCCCCATGAAAGAAGGCAGACCCAAATACTTCCCAAAATTAGAAGCTTGAGCCACGCCTAATAACATGGCCACCTCATCCTTGTCTGTCACTGGAGTATTCTTGCTAAAACAAATACTTGATTTATGGAAATTAATGGCCTGACCTGCCAACTTCTCATAAGTAGTTAGACACTGTTTGATAACGGCTGCTTCCTGAGCTTTGTCTTTGAAAAATAGTAAACTATCATCTGCAAAAAACAAGTGAGAGATAGGCGGGGCACCCCTGGCCACCCTGCACCCATGAAAGGAACCCTGATCCTGAGCTTTCTGTAACAATAAAGAGAGACCTTCAGCGTAGATAATGAAAAGATAAGGGGAGAGAGGATCACCCTTCCTAAGACCACGAGTGGGGGTAACGAGCTCACTAATAACGCCATTTACATTGATAAAGTAAGAGACAGTGGTGACGCACAACATAATCAAATCCACCCATCTTTCATCAAACCCAAGGACCCTGAGCATCTTTCGTAAAAATTGTAACACCCCCAATTCTAAATACAGAACTAAACACAATAATAAGGGAAATTTCTTAAAATGTGGAAGCTAAAACTAAATTGAATAGGGGTGCTATGCCACACTTAGGTTATTCCAAACCCAAATGCACATGCTAATACTAAATTTACAATTCAAACATAGCTAATTACAACTCATCAAAAGGTCTATTAGTCATAAAGAATAGGACTATACTACCTATTCTAGATAGCACGCTCTCAAGAAGGCCTATACTCCAAACCTTAAATCATTTTAAAAGAATTAGCGATAGATGCTAAGTAACCCCACTCTAATGTGTAAAGATACATAGATATACACTTCATACTTTGAAATAGGTTTTGAGACTTTGGAATACATATGTATATTTCACTAGTCAACTCTAATTCAGTAAATGATACAGAATGGAATCAAGTTAAGACCAATACAAGAGATATACTCAATGACATGACAATATACAACGAGGATATCAGTAAAGAGATTGATTTAATGAGATAACAATAACGAGTCATGAACAACTAGAAGGATAGAACAATCATGGTAAACAAACATAGTTCAGTTCTTATCATAGTCATGCAATCAATAACAATATCAAGTTCCAATTCCAAGTCCTCACCGGGACAATCAACAGTTCAAACATCACAAAGTCAACCTCAGTGACTCAAATGCTAGTGGATCAGAGTAGTTATGGCAATCAAAAATTCTGTCTACCTTCCTCTCCCATTCTAAATAAACATCAGGATCTCTCTTACCTGTAAAATTAGGAATATGTGAATTAATGTTTCCAATGTCATCATCTTCCTCATTTCTATCCCTCATATATCTTCTATTACCTCTCATGTTGACCTTCATTTTGCTGATTTGGTCTCCTATCTCCCTCCATCCTCTCTATTCGGCCGTTCAACCCCTCAATCACATCGGTCATTTTAGAAAATTGTCCCTTAATGGCTCTCATCATGAGACGCATGTCAAGACTTAATTCTTGCTCATCAATCTCTCTAGGACCCAACATTTTCCTAACCCGCCCCAAGTATGAGAATTGGACCTCACGACACTCTTTAATGGGGTGATCACTCATTATTTTACCACTCGTGTATAATAAAACGCTATAATGATCTCACAAATAAAATTCACTCAAGTAGTAAAATAAGTCTTGTCCTTTGGAGTTATTTTGGAGTTTAAGACTAAGTCAAGAAACTTAATCCAAAATGGCTAAACTCACAGAAGGTTAATATTTGGAAAAAAAAAACAAATGATCCATATGAGACAAGCAATTTCAAATGTTGCTTCTCACCTCTTTTGTTTTTTTTTTTTTTTTTTTTTTGGTTTTTTTTTTCAATCTTCTTTCCTTGACTTTTTTTTTTCACAATACTAGCAGCAAATCGAGGTGATATCAATCATAAGACAGTATAGAATACAGCAGGCAATACACAGAAATTTTCATTCAGTAGGGTTGATTCACAGATTTTTCTGTATTTCTGAGAATAATATTTTGACAAATTTTTTTTTGGTCAGAAAGAACAATAGGTTGGCTATGTCCACAAAAATTTTCAAGGCAAAAGGACAGCCGGAAGTATTTTTTTTTTGGGTTTTTTTTCTCTAACTGAGAAGACTGGATTTTTTTTTTCAGAATCTATGCTTTTTGGGGGTAGTTACTAATTAATGCAAAAAAAATATGGATTAAACGAAGTAGAAAGATGGGAACAAGATCATATAGTAGAATATAGGAATGAAGTTCTTATATGACACTTAGAACAAGCTCAAAATTTTTGGGAATGATTGTAGCCTGTTCATATAAGGATTTGACTCCAAAACTTTGATACCAAAATTGTTGTGGGCTCCGGTCAAGAAAGAATGATGGTTGGGCGATGGAAACAAAGGAAGGGAGGTGGTGGTGTAAAGGGTCGCCACTCCAAGGATGGAGATAAGAATTGACGCCACTTAGGAGATAAATCCCAAGATAAGTCAAAATACTCCTCAAGAACTCAAGGAAAAGAAATTGCCACAGCAATATTCTTGAATTTACTACTATTAAAGTTGTCCATCAAACAAATTAATAGCAAGGCTATTTATACAATTTAGCAAGCCCCTACATCAATGACTTTTAAGTTCAAAATGAGCTATTCTAGTGCTATACTAGCTTAAAAGATGCAACTAGCCACAAGACTAGGATAACTAAGTCAAATAGGCTTTATAAAAAACTAAATTCTAATTGAATTTAGGATTTATAAGTCTAATATGGACTTTACAAATTAAATAGCATAGGGACGGTCTAAAATAATCTTAAACTTTTATTTGCAAGAAAAAAAACTCCAAGTGTCAATTTATAAGGTATGAACCTCCACTCGATCTTTATTCTTCAAATTATGCCTGAATCAGATTGACCACCTTCCATTCAACTCCATCTTCATATTCTTGATTAGCTTCACTTACTCCTTTAATAAGGTCATTCAAAGCTTCATGAAATATCTTCGTCTTTGCTCTCGTCATTGGACCTCCCATGGTTTGCAAATGACCTGTTTCTTTGTTCCCATCCTCATAGTTGTCCTCAACACTGGCTCAAAAGATATATTTTATTATTGGAATCCAAAAGAGGTATATCATACCACGCAACTTACTATAGTTAGTCCAAATAACCAAGTAAGCTTCGTGAATAATAATTAATAAAAGGTGTATCTAAATTTTGGGAAGTGACTAAATACATGTTTTGCCAATGCAAACCATGAAACTTAGAATTATAATTGAACTAAATTTATAAATTCTAAGAAAGTGAGATAAAATTACTATCTAATGGGTTGATGAATTTATTGACATAAAACATGCCTATGGGCTAAAGTTTTAATTCTATTAAATTCAATTAAACAATTATGATAGTAATTTATCTCAAT